GCCCACCTGCCCAGGGGTGGCACCACCCACAGTGGGCTGGGCCCTCCCACATCACTCATCAAGAAGATGCCCTTCAGACATGGCCACAGACCAGTCCAATAGAGGCAATTTCCCGATTGAGGCTCCCTCAACCCAGGTGTGTCAAGTTGACACTAAAGCTAACAAGCACACCATTTGTCAGGTACACATTGTCCTCAGCAGTTCTTGGCACAAAAAGAAAAACATTGCCTTCCTAGGTACAGTTCTCTGACATGACAGAAACAAAGGAAGCTAAAGAAAGAGGAGAAAGAGACAGAAGAGGGAAAGAAAAAACAAGAGAGTCTGAAATGTTTATCACACAAATATGTGATAATAGTAAGAAAGAACTTACGGTTTTGTTTGTATAGCCTTTTTCATTTTTCTTTTTTGAGCCAGGATTTTGTTTTATAGCTCAGCCTTCCCTTGAATTTATTATATCCTCCTGCCTCAGTCTCCTGAACACAGGGAATATAGACATGTGCCAACATGATTTACAGTATTTTATTTATTTTAATATTTTATTATTTTTATTTATATGTGTTGGATAGCTGGTGCAGCCATTAAAGGCTCAGGCTCAAAACCATAAAAGATGAGTATTTTATTTTTTAATTAGTGAGAAAGTTCAATTTTATTTTTTTAAAAATATTTAATTTTAGTTTTTTAAAGAGTTCTCCACACTGCTTTCTATAGGGGTTGCACAAGTTTGCCATTCTCCCAGCAGTGAATGACTGTTTCCCTTTCTCCACATCCTCGCCAGCATTTGGTATTATTTGTTCTCTTGATCTTAGCCAGTCTGAACTTACCATATGACTTGGTTATACCACTCTTTGGCATATACCAAAAGGACTCATCCTATTGCAGAGACACTTGTACCACACTGCTTTCTATAGGGGTTGCACAAGTTTGCCATTCTCCCAGCAGTGAATGACTGTTTCCCTTTCTCCACATCCTCGCCAGCATTTGGTATTATTTGTTCTCTTGATCTTAGCCAGTCTGAACTTACCATATGACTTGGTTATACCACTCTTTGGCATATACCAAAAGGACTCATCCTATTGCAGAGACACTTGTACATCCATGTCTGGTGCTGCTCTTTTCACAATAGCTAAGAGATGGAAGCAACCTGTGTGTTCCTCAATTGATGAGTGGATAATGAAAATGTGGTTCATTTATACGATGGAGTTTTGCTCAGCAGTAAAGAAAGATGAAATTATAAAATTTGCAGGTAAATGGATAGAACTAGAAATTGTTATATTAAGTGAAGTAACACAGACTCAGAAAAAAAATCGATGTATGTTCCCCCTCATATGTGGATCCTAGAACCAAATCCTGATGAGTATTTATCCAAACATAACTACAGGAACCAGGAAAGGAACCAGGGAGGTAAAGGAAAAGAAATAATCTGAAAGAGAAGAACAGTAGGAAACAGGCCTTAATAAGGGAGATATGGATAAAAATTGGGCTAGTTTAAGGGAGGGGGGAGGGAAGGGTATACAAGGAATCTTCTTTTTGAGACAGGGTCTCTTCTGTAGCCCCAGCTGGCCTGGAACTTGCTCTGTAGACCAACCTGGCCTTGAACTCACAGAGATCGGCCTGCCTCTGCCTCATGAGTGCTGAGACAAAGGGTGTGGGGCACCATGCCCTGCTTCCATGCATAGTTAAAAAGAAGTAATAGGCTAGAGAGATAGCTCAGCAGATAAGAACACTGACTGTTCTTGCAGAAGACCTGGGTTTGAATCCCAACAGCCACATGGCAGCTAACAACTGTTCTTAACCCCAGTTCCAGGGGATGTAACTCCAGTTCCAGGGGATCAGACAGTCTTTTCTGTCCTCACAGGCATTGCACGACATGGGTGCACTTACCTACATGCACTGCAATACATGCATACACATAAAATAAAAATAAATTGTGGGGACCTAAGGGCCCCACCTTGCAGAAGTCCGAGAGGAAGTTACTGGGGCATGGCCTGACTTGCTTTGAAAGTCTGAAGAATACTTCTGCACTGCTGAGGAGTGCATGATGAGCACTTGACCATCATTAAGATACACCCTCAGGGGGGGAGGTGGATTTCCAGATGCCTTTATAAGCTCTGTAACACCTGCAATAAATGAGTCCCTGCTTGACTAGGCTCCCCGTTGCGTCTGATTGTCTCTGGTACTGGGGGCGGTGTGGGCTGGCGAATGACATGCTTACTCATCCCCAATCATCACTGCGCAGGGGGTCGCTGGTTTGAACCCCCCCCACAATAAATAAAAATTTTAAAGAAAGGTTTAAAAAAAACAGAGGGAACCATATTAGTCCAACAACATACTGACAAATTATACATACCAGTTCAAGAAAGACATTTCTAGGCAAGGTTTGTCTGAGAACAATTGGTGTTTGCACAAGATTTATCTACATGGCGCTCAGTAATTAAAAGTACCAGACTGGTGGAACTAACCTTCTTGGATGTTTAACAGACATACTTTGAGGCCTATAATAATTTGGTCAGAGGTACATAAAGGACAGTTTTTGCTCCTTGCCCTCCTAGGTCGACTAGTTCCAGGGGACTATGAGCATCTCTCAAAATGTCCTGTA